ACCATAATTATATTCCTGAGTAATTTGGTACATATTAAAATATAGCATACTTTTTGTTTATATGTGAAATAGTTAGGTTATAGGCACAGGCAAATTCAAACAGATTTTTCTCTTGCATTAATGCCTAGTAAAACATTCGAAAGGCTTGTGGGACACATGCTAACTGCTAATTGTATTAAAACTTCTTTAAAACAGCTTTAGAGAACTTTTTTCTATAAAGGGCCAGAAAGCATATACTTTAGATTTGGAGGACCATACAGTCTGTCACAAGTACTCAACTGTGTCTAAGAAAGAAGTCACAGATAATACGAATGGCTGTGTTCACATAAAACTCTATCTACAAAAATAGGCAGTGGGTCCCAGGCTATAGTTTCCTTCCCTCTGCATTAGTGTGTCCCATGCATTGCAAAATGCCTTGCTCCCAACCACTAAATGCCAGGTGTACCGGCCAATTACTGTGATGACAAAAACACCTCCTACGCAGCAGTAACTGCCCAGCCCTCCCACTCTCACCAACTGAGAACTCCTGATTTCAACTATTCCTTTTCATAGCACTTTGCATTGCTGGTCTCAGAGGCTCCTTTTCCATGCCCGTCTGAATTACAAGTCATCCTCAATTTACTCTTTACTGTTTCTCCAGCTTATACCTAATGTGAGACTCAACTTCTACTTTACCTCCTTTCACGATTGGAGGAATACCCTTAGAACCTACGATCTTTGTAAAATAATGTGGCACTGATATGCCACCACATTTTGTTCACTTGTTATCTATACATTCAATCTCCACCTGGAAGGCAACTTCCTTTAAGGCGCAAAGTCTACCTAATACTCTGTCGTATTTACAGACTCTAGTTTATTAATTTTCCTTCAGTTACTCACTATTACAGAGTGATTGCCACGCTAGAGGTTGAAGATACAGCAGTGAACAATTAAACAAAGTCCCTGATCTCATGATGATTATCCACTAACAGAGTGGGGAGAAAATTGTTCCAGATTCCAATGAGAACTATAATGGAAATAAAGAGATGGTGATATGATGAGTGAAGAAGAGCAAAATGATGGTCAGCTGCTATATTAGCTAGAATGAGCAAAAGAAACTTCTCTGAAAAGAGAAGCTAACACCTGTCATCTGAAAACAACCAGGGAAGAACATTCTAACCAGGTGGAAAAGCCTGTCTGAAATCCCTGAGACAGGAAATCATGTGGCATGTACGCAAGAAATCAATCACACCATACTTTAAAAAGAACGGACATACTATTTAGGTTTTCAAACGATTGCATTGGCTACAGAGCGCAGAAGGGACAATAAGAAGGCAAGAGACATGAAGAGTACAATTAAGAAGCTACTGTGGAAGTCCAAGGAAGAAATGATGAAATTCTGGATGGGGGTGGCAATGAAGAGAGAGAATGTGGACAGTATGGGTTTCATTTAAAGAAGTAATTAATAGGTCCTGGTCTTGGACTAGATTTGAGTGGAAGGAGCCCTGAATGCTGACAGAACCAACACAGGGGGAATATGGTTTGGGTTATGGCAGAAGGACAATGAGTTTCACTTGGATGTGTTACAGCTGAAGTGACTGTTATATAATGATCATTTTTGAACCAGCCTTGCATTCCTGAAATGAATCCCATCAGTACTGAAGTACTATCCCCTTCACATGTTACTGGATTCAAGAGAAGATGCCAAGTAGGCAGATGGATACATGAAATGGAAATGGAGCACAGTCTTAGCCAACAAGATGCACATGTAAGTCATCAGCTTATAGCTGCTCTTTAAATTCATAAAATGAACAAAATCACTTATAAAAAAGTACTCACTAGAAAAAGGAAGGCCCTTCCCTATCTTGAAACCCCTCAAGATTTCAAGGAGCCAGAACAAGAGAAAAACAAAAACCTACCTCCTTGGAAAATCTGATGTCACAGAAGAGGACATTTCAACCACGTACAATCTTCTCAAATGTTGAGTAATTAAGACAGAGAGGTATATATTTGATTTGGCAAGAAGAAGGTGATTGATAAACTTATAAGGACAGGTTCAGCTAACAAGAAATGATGAAAACCAAATTAAAATGGAATGAAAAGGAGAAGGAGAGCTAAGAACATGAAAAGAGAAAGAAGATTTCTCAAAAATATAATGTGTAAATCATATTGATAGTTTGGGGAAACAAATCAGATCAGTGGCAGACTACATTTAGTTCATTAACACTTCAATCAAATTATTGTAGCAAACCACTGATTTATCATGTTATGGATAAGCAGCATAATATCTGTGATCCTTTCAATGTAAAAATAAACTAAGGTCTTTTTCTTTTTTTTTTTTTTTTTTTTTGAGACAGAGCCTCAAGCTATCCCCCTGGGTAGAGTGCCATGGCATCACAGCTCACAGCAACCTCCAACTCCTGGGCTCAAGCAAGTCTCCTGCCTCAACCTCCTGAGTAGCTGGGACCACAGGTGCCCACCACAATGCCCAGCTATTTTTTGGCTGCAGCCGTCATTGTTGTTTGGTGGGCCCGGGCTGCATCCGAACCTGCCACCTTAGGTGTATGTGGATTCGAACTTGCCACCTTAGCCACTTGAGCCACAGGTGCCAAGCCTAAGCTAAGGTCTTAAGTTACAAAAATTCATGACTAAGACAACAACGAACAAACAGGGCTTAATTAAACTAAAAATCTTTTCTACACAGAAATAAATAACACAGTAAACAGACAACTTGCAGAACGGGACAGAATATATGCAAAATATGCATGTGACAAGGATCTAATATTCAGAATGTACAAGGACTCAACTCAATAACAACGGATAATCCCATTAAAAGGCTGGCAAAGGATATGAATAGATGTTTTTCAAAAGAATATATATCAATTGCTAACAATTATATGAAATGATGCTTAATATGACTAATCATCAGAGAAATGGAAATAAAAACCACAAGGAGACACCATCTTACACCAGTCAGAATGGCTATCATTAAAAAGTCAAAAACTGATATTGGCAAGGATACAGAGGAACAGGAACTCATCTACTGTTGATAGAAATATAAATTAGTACAATCTCTATGGAAAACAGTATGAAAATTTCTCAAAGAACTAAAAATAGAACTATAATTATACCTAGTAATATCACTACTAGGGTATTTACTTAAGGGAAAAGACACTCATATATCAAAAAAAAAAAAAATACCTGCACGTGTATGTTTATTGTAGGACTATTCACAATGGCCAAGATAGGGAATTAACCTGAGTGTCCATCAATGAAAGACTGGATAAAGGAAATGTGGTAGATGCACAATAGGTTACTATTCAGCCATAGAAAAGAATGAAATCTGGCTCAGCACCTGTGGCTCAAGTGGCTAAGGTGTCAGCCACATACACCTAAGGTGGCGGGTTCAAATCCAGCCCAGGCCCACCAAATAACAATCATGGCTGCAACCAAAAAATAGCCGGGTGTTGTGGCGGGCACCTGTGGTCCCAGCTACTTGGGAGGCTGGGGCAGGAGACTCACTTGAGCCCAGGAGTTGGAGGTTGCTGTGAGCTGTGATGCCACAGCACTCTATGCAGGGGGACAGCTTGAGGCTCTGTCTCAAAAAAAAAAAAAAGAAAAGAAAAGAAAAGAATGAAATCATATCTTTTATAGAAATGTGGATGGCACCAGTGGCAATTATCTTAAATGAAACAAACCAGACACAGAAAATCAAATACTGTATACTCTCACTTGTAAGTGGGAGCTATATAATGTGTACACATGGATATAGAGGATCAAATGACAGACAGACAGTGGAGACTCATAAGGGTGAAGGGGTCTGGGGGTGGATGATTAGAAATTACTTAATGGGTGCAATAAATGTATGTTATTTGGGTGCTGGATACCCTAAAATCCTTGACCACGCCACGCGTGTGACAAAATTGCCCTTATACTCCATAAATTTATACATTTTTAACAGATAACTTGCATTTTTAAAAATGTAGTAAAGGTAAAGATAATAACCCTAAAAGTTATGAAACTGAATTAAATCATTCTGATTAATAAAGGAAGACATTTTATTCCCTGGGAGTAGATATAATTCTTCTGTGCAGAAATAAAGCAGGCTGGGTGTGGTGGCTCATGCCTGCAATCTTAGCACTCTGGGAGACTGAGGCAGGTGGATTGTTTGAGCTCAGGAGTTCAAGATCAGCCTGAGCAAGAGCAAGATCCTATCTCTACTAAAAAAAAAAAAA